TTTTTAAAAGCTTTAAAAAAAGTATAAAATGTCTATTTTAGAATGATCATATCTTCTACTGAAATTGGCATTCTCGCCTATAGTATATCTTTATAATGATAAAGATTGGCTTATATCTATCGATGTAGCATTAAAATATGGTCTCTTAGCTATATGTATGTAAAAGGAATTAGTAAAATAAATATATTTTAGCCTTAAAAGGATTAAACCCTTTAAAAAGGGGTCTTGCTGAATCCATATTTCTTTTTATTTTTGCCTATATACAATTAGATCCCTAAAGAAGTCACAAGAAATCACGATAAATCTTATATAAATGTATTCGTTAGAAGTTACTGAAGATAACTGAACAAGAATTTTTCGCAACCTTCAAAATTATAATAATATATTTGTAATGAGTTCACCAAAGTCGATTAACTCTGTACAAGTATGGATTAGAAAACTTGAGTGAGTTTATAACAATCACAACTTATTTAAAATTCTAAATACAGTTATTACAGGTATTACATTTTTTGCTATTTATTGCAGATATACATATGTTTTTACAAATTAAATAAATAAAATATGGAACTTGATTTTTGAAAAAGTTTATAAGTCTGATGTCTTGCGATGGAATACTTAACATTATCTTGGAGATAGGATTGTGATTTCTTTCGCATTGCAAACTCGATTTGTTCGTATTTCGAAAATAGATTTCTTTGCTTATGATTTGTGTCTTTCTTAAAGTGTTTGCGACTCTCAAGTCGTAAAAATAAGAGTCATCGTTAGATACTGTGATCTAAGGTACGTAGTTCTATTTAACAGTGTAATATAAAGCGTGAGATTTGCTTTCATCGTATGTACAAACAAATATGAATATAATACCGTATCTCTTCTACAAGTACTATATTGTATCATCGCTCAAATTTATTTTACAATTTTACTATGCAGTTTAAAATAGTTTATAAGAGCCTATAAAATAACGGAAATTCATATGTTAAAAATATAATACAAATTTTAATGGTAAACCCCATGCGAATCTGGATAATTTTTTAATCTATTAAAAAAATAATACCAATAAACCTATAAAAACGATATCTTTTATAATAAAAAAAAAAACGTTTAAATAACAGAACTAATTTAGTTCGTGTTTTGGTCAATCCGGCCCACTGTGCGACGTCACCTATCTTTCTATCTATTTCTACAGAAATATAGGTTTCATTAGATAATCTCCACTGATAATTGCGGTCAGACAGAGTTGCGAACAATTCGAACGAGGACTCGACTATTGAAGAGATCACGATCGAAAAATTACTGCTTATCGTGATTGATATAAAATATTGACATAGTGTCCAGGAGACCTAGTTGACCTACTTAGGGGATATAGCTTGAGATGTAACTATCGATAATATTATCGATGAACCAAATACAAGCAATTGAAATAGATTGCAACGTATTGACTGTCATAAAATTATTACAAAAATATTAATTATCTGGACTTGTCGCAGTATCATATTAGTGTACTTACTAATGTACTTTATCTGTAACATTGTTTTCCTATTTCAACAAATTTACATTCGTATATTGTGAATTATATGTCAGAAATTTAAAGATATGCCTTTATAATAAACTATAACAAAAAGACAAATTTTATACGATTTTATCATAATTAATGCATTACATTTTCTTTAATCACATTTATTCGCCTTAACCATGTCTCAACGATATCTTAGCCTTATATCGATATATCGTTGAAATTTCGATAACATATCGATAAATTATCGATAATCGATAGTTACATCTCTCGTGACGTGGAATGAGGCGTGGAATGAGGGAGTTTCAGTAACGTTCCTCTCGAGTTGTTGGAACTCCTATAACGGACTACAGATAGTGTACAGTTTGGCTCGTAAATAAATTTACGCGCGTATTAGATCTGTCTTACATAATTTAAAAGGAAACAAAATAACAAAGTCTTTGGTCAATTTAAATTAAAAATTATAATGTCTTAACTGGAACAACTGAAACAAACAGAAAGATTCAAATTTTTTCTATACAGACTGAAACGTATTCTCATCGCACACCGGTGGTGCCAACCTCTCCGGTCGATTTTCCTTAAAACCCTAAAAATTTCCATTTAATAGCTAGCCACTGCAGGAATTTTAGTGAATAAAAATCTCACATAACCTTAATCTTTGTAAAATATATTTATTTCGAGTGACATAGCAAAGTCATAAAATCAGTCGAATGCTAAAATATAATTTTTCAATTCAATTAATACGATGTTCATTTCGATTGAATTCCTTTGTTGCCGAGTTTACAAAATGTTCCAGTTTTTTAAATGTTCGAAACATTAAAGGAAATTCAGTGCTAGTAAATTAATAATAAATTATACTTCATAAATAAAATTAAAATTAGAAGTTTATTAACGATCTTTTTTGTTTTACTAAATACTATAATTACAAAACAAATGGTTCTGAGATTCGGCGCCATTAACGATATTATTTCAACATTAATCAGAATCAGAATCAGAATCAAAAATAGGTTATTTAGAAATAAAATAGGCATAATTATTTAAATACATTAATTTATGGCCTCGCTGTATCTCTCGAACTAACTACTATGCGTTACAGACAAGAAGTCTGCTGAGCAAAACGTATAACCGAATCCCCTCTAACCCTCACCAACCCATCCATTCTAATGCTATCGCAGAAATAAATGCACTTCCCTTATTGGCAGAAATGATACCTTCCTATTAACCCTTTGACTGCCACATCGAAATCACATGTTTCGCTCAGGACGCCACAGGAATGCACAGCTAGATGCGAGATTTTTTGTAATATTTTTTTATGTTCTATTAAAAATTTTTAATTTTTCAATGACTATGCACTTTTTTTTCAAAGTATCTTCTAATTAGCGGTTATATTCAAAATGCACTAACTGTTAATTTTCATTCAATGTTGTTCAATGCAGTTCAAGTAGTTCAAGCGCTCCGATCACCAATGACCACCGTGGTGTCACAGGACTTAAAAATAAAACCTAACCTAACCGTGGCCGGTCATATATGACCAACGTGGCAGTTAAAGTGTTAACCCGATTATATAGTACCGTGTGATAAAGGAAGCAAACGAAACAATCGAGACAAAGTGAGACAGACGCAAGAAATAAATGCAAAAGCGTAGACTTATCCCTAAAGCATTAACTTCAGATTTTTCCGATGAATGTTTATTTCCGAATTTTATTTAACTATACTTATATATTATACACGTATTAAATATGTGCCCAATATTTGTGAAGTATAAGTGAAAATAATCATGTTTTACTCGTGCAGTATTACTCTCATATTCGCAGGCTTGCAATGTATTATTTGAGTATAGGAATTTTACGGATGCCTTACATCTATGTTAATGTATAGTGTTACCAAACCTGAACATAGCTATTACAATAACGTCGTTATAGAAGAGTGGGGACTACGAGCGAGCATGTTAGGCGAAGCGAGTGGAATACCCCCCCTACTCTTGTGCCGAAACAGCGGACTTCTTGTCAGCAACGCACAGTGCTTACATATGAGTTCCTGTAATACACATACGTATGATACATATAAGTACCACATGTGAGTCGTTTGTTTTGAAAATGGCTTAAGTCCATTTTCCAAAAAAATCAAACTAGCTATTTTAATATTTACATTTCTATATTATCTTTTCATTTTGAAGCAAATTGTAACTAATATATTTAAAATCACTAAGATTTTGTAAAACAAAAACTTGCTGGTTAATGAAATCATAAAAATACGTATTTTGAAAGTGACTTAAGTCCTGCTGTGAGAGTTTCAAATGGATATGAAGAATATTATGCAATAAAATTTTATTATTATTATTGATCACAGCTTTATGTTTTATTATCAAAGTAGTTTTGTTTGATTCTATTAAATATATATAATTTTAATATAATTTTACCTTGACACACCTACCTGATTTCATTTCAACTAAACCTCTAGAAAATGCGACTTTTAGAAGTTTAAAAGATACTGATCGAAAAAGGGTAAATTGGTTAAAAATATGTTGAATGAGATTTTTGCGAACTGAACCATATAAAATGTTCCATAAAACAGCAGTGCATGAAGATGCACTATTCTAAACTCTGGATTTACTACCACGGTGGGGAAGACCAAGAAATTTTAATAATATTAAGTTGACACCACTGTACGAGAAAACGAGATCAATCACAATGCTAAAATACAACGATTTAATGGATTTATTGGACAAGATACCACGTGAACACCATAATTATTTTAAATCCCTTTCGCATACGTAAATTGGAGAAAAATAAATAATTAATCATAAAACATTATTAATTTTAATGTAAAAATTCTCTAATAGAGAATAACAGTTGAATATTTTTTAATGTTATAATTTAAAAGTGCATACATTACGTTTTATTTCAAGGAAAATTTATTTTTTCCATGGATTTGTGCTTTTTCAAGAACTGAAAATATTATTTCATTAATTTTGAAAGTGGCTTAGATCCATTCATAGCCGTCAAAAACATTATTTCTTAAATAATGTTAATTATGCCAATTGGGCTGATAAATTATATTCCCTTAGAAACCCAAAAACATTATACTACTATATTATCAGTCACCAATATTTTTAAATTTATTGAAACGCGATTCCTTAAATATCTCGATTTTAACATAAACAGCTCATATATGTCAATTGAATGAGTGTTTAAGTTATTATAAAAATCAGTATTCTAAAAATCATTAAACAATTAAGCTTCTGATCACAGTTAAATTAGTCCACACATTCAGTCTAGTATTCTCTCAAATATAGATGGCGCAATTGTGTATTATATGTAGTCGGAATTGCCAATCCCTAGTGACATTTAATGCTCAATTAATGCAGAAAACATCACAAGCAGTATAATAAAATAATATGATAAAGACTGTATGTACGTTTAATTTGTGTCTTAATTTATATGCTTAATAATAATTCGATAAAAACATAATGAGCTAATCACATATTTACCAAATCTTCGTATCGTGATACAGGGAATAGAAATTCCTGTTTCTCCAGTTCAGGAAATAAAAGAGTTTCAATTTTCGGAATCAACGTTCCAATTTTTATAATCTTATCAAAACATTGCGAAATTATTTCTCGCACTTCTAAGATACTCGGTTTACAACTTAGTCTATCTGTACCAAGTTCTGGTTCCACTGTTACTGTTATAAAGGGAGTTCTAAAATGCATCTAGAATAAACATTACATATACAAACTATCGAAACGTATTAAAATAACGTGTCACTTACTTGCAGAACATGAGATCCTTGTAATCACCTTCAAAATAATTTCCGTCGCTATATTCCATAAAAAAATGTCTAATATTATTTAGCGTTTTCATTATCATCATTCGCAATTGTATAGATAAAAGGGTATTTACACTTCTAAAGTATTTTTCGATCATAGCTGTAGATGCATTATAATGTCTTTGAACAAGACAAGACCAAGCGTATTTCTTCTCTAAAAAAAATTCAGCAATATCAGCCAACCAATGTCTGATAAGTTTGTCTACAGCTTTATTACAAAGTAAATTTATTTTATGTTCCACTTCATTTGCTGGTATAGGAAAAGTTCCTAGATCTTCAAGTTTGACGATTGTCGTATCATGATATCTGTAAAAATAAATCATCTTAATATTTACCGATTTTTAAGATTCAATCATTTTTATGATCAATTTTGTCGATTATTAATTAATCTGTTCTCAATCATCATTAATATACAGGGTGTCCCGTTGATACAGCGAAAAATTGTATACATAACTGTTATAAATAAAGCAATCTTTTAGTAGTTTTAACTGTAAAATACAAAAATATTAAATACTAAAAAATACGTGTCACCTCGTTATATTTAAATCATTCGTTTAGGAGGTTTTCGGTTGTACAGTCAAGTCTCCTGTAACGCGATTAATTCGTACCGCATTATATGGAAATCGTGTTATACGAAAATCAGAATTAATTGAAATCAGAAAATGCGACCTATGTAAACTACGTTATGATAAACATAGTAATAAGACAAATCAGATTAATTTATACCGCGTTATATAGAAACCGCGCTATAAGAAACTCAGAAATAATACAAATGGAACGAATTCGTACCGCGTTATACGGAATCTCAAAAATAAATAAATTGTACATAAATCATACCTATATAAAAGCTGCATTCTCAAAGTATCAAGTTGCGATTGATACGGTTAATGAATAAAATTTTATAATAGAAATGACAATGAATATGTAGATTTTTACATAATTGAATTTAGGTTTATCGAATATAAGACATAGTTCGTATAATAAAATTATAACCTAAAAAAAATTGTTTCCAACAAAAGAACTTAATTTGATACATATTAGTGACGCATCCTAATTTAGAATAGGATTCTAACGTGTTAAAATTAAACGGTTTATTACTTTGTTTTATATAATTATCTTTCGGGCGCCTATCAAAACCCTTATTAAAATCTTTCCTATCATAAGTTTTTTTATCCATCATTGTTATTCCATATTTCTTCTTATTTATATTTATTTCTGAAACAAATGTTTTATTCTCAAACACTCTTATGAAATCGCTTCAGTATGATCAGAATTCAGACATTCTTATCATATGGTTCGTACATTGAGGATACCACAATTAGATTGTTTTATTAATTTAACACGTCAAGTAAGTGCTACAATAGATAAATTTTTCAAGCCATTTGAGTTGTTGGAATGTTCTTGTACGAAAAACGTGTTAAAACGCGTTATGAGGAGACCGCATTATAAAAGACTGACTGTATTAACATAAATGGGACACCCTGTATACATGATATAAAAATTCTTTTCTTGTCTAACGAATATCTGTATATTTCAAACTAAAATTCTGCGACACAAATCTACCATCTTCTTGGCATGTTTGTTTACTTTATGAAACTTTTCTCCAACCCTATATTATATTTAATACTACGTTTTGACCTGAATCTAAAATAGGTCTTACTCTTTGTAACAACACGATAAAATGCACGGCCCATCTATCAAAGAAATATAAGGAAATTAAACTTGAGTTGAAATACGTCACGAATAAAAACATTTGTTTTAGACTGGAAAATATTATACGGACAAAACACTGAAATTAAAAGAAATAACACCTGCAAAACAGATGAGAAATAATGACTTGACGATGCGAAGCAAAATCATATGAATCTTTTCTTCTTTGAAATTATAAGGCCCAAATGAAATATAATACGATATATTCCTAGTATTTAGGGTCACCTGAAGATTATACTTCAAGTATACTCGAAAATATTTTTTTACCTACTGCGTAATGCAATAAAAAAAAAAAAAAAAAAAACTTCTCTAATAAAAAATACACACGACCTTGAAAGAAAACGAAAAAAAATATTCAATAAAATAATTTTTGTTCCATGATATTTCTCTTTTGAAATCACCCAAATTGTACCATATACATTTCTTATGACATTAATTTAGATATTCGAACTAACGCTATAATATTGAGATTGAAACATCTAAACTAATGACTTTTTAACAAAAAGCTTAATACTTTTTGTAAACAATACGAAGTGTATGTCGATTAGTATATTAAAAATTATATAATTTCGTTTAAATTTACATATGTCATATGATTTTTACCCGACTATCTAGAGAAACAATAGTTACACCAAATTATGTCCATCCTGAAAACATGTGAAACATTTAATTATACAGCAGATAATTTAAAAGTAATTCGTATTTATAGATTGACCTCGTGCACTGCGTTCAAACTACTGCAGAGACATTAATAATCTATAATTTGTTATTTCGTTTTGTTTTCGTTAGTAACATCATAAAAAAAAAGAATTATCATTCTGTTTTAAAAAGCCAACTTTTAAATCTTTCTTGGGAATTTTCTGCAAAAGATACTATAAGACTTCTCATCATGATGTTTGGAACACATATTCAGTACTATTTAAAATATATAAATTGTCTTTTTTCAACTGAAAATAATGAAAACTAAATTGGGTAAAAAATTATTTAATAAGTGCTACTTATTATATATTATTTTCTATTTTTCTGTAGCCAGTTATTTTAATGATTCACCCATAGTTTGAATTTAATATACAATTTAATATACAATTGCATTGGTTTTTTAATAACTTCATATTAAGAAGTCATTCGTATTTACGTATTGAATATCGAAAATATTTAAAATTATAATAAAATATTTTTAATTTTTTTATAATTTATAGCAAAATTATATTAAAATAATAAAATTATAATAAAATAATAATTATTCACAAGTGATCGAGGGAATTTTTTTATAATCCTCAGATCAGAATTATGCCTAACTACGGCCCTGATGAAACTAACCGGGCGAACAATGGCTGCGGTGCGGTGAAACACCGTATGTAAGTTACTGACAAATATTTTCTTAGTCTGATCGAATTGGAAACCACCCAAATAATTTTGTTGCATGACTTTTTCTGCAGAAAAGTCTACAGAATACGATACTATGTGGAAAATTCGTATTAGATAAAGAACTTTTTGTAAAAATGCAAATATAGTACGCGATAAGTACGCTGGACGGTTTATTTTTAAATTTTGATGACCAATTATAATCATTCAAAAGTACAAATAAGTATAATTAATATTGATAAACTATCTTGATAAACTCGAGAAACTTTCAAGATAAGATCTAACTTTCAAGATAAGAATGAACCCCCTAACAATTTTAATTTTCACGTAATAGCACATTTTAGGCAAACGTAATGCGTTTTTATAAAAACTCGAGTTTTCGCGAAAATTGGAAGTGATGGGGCAATTTCGTTTACGGATTCGTGTTCAGAAGAGCGACCTGTATAAAATCGCCCAATGTATATTACAGATCAAAATTCACGTTGGACAGTGTTATAAAATGTAAAATTTACAATACTTACTTGAGAAAATATAAATCTTTAATATTTCTCAGTATTTCGTTTCCAATAAATAAATTATAATGCATAAAATGATTTGCCATTAATTTATATTGATGCCATGGGACAGGTGCTCTTATAATTATGGTTGGATACTCTTTATATGGAGGTTTTGTAAGAAATTTTTTATAAGTGTCAATAACTTCTAACTCCAATTCCGTTAATAATTCATCAAAACTGTAAGAAAAATTGATTATCATAGATAGTTATTAGGCATAGAAACGAATATAGTAATTCAAATCTTCATAAACCAACTCTTCTAATTTTCGTAGTCGACCAGTTATACGTTTCCTTGCTTCTTCGAGGTGAGTTTTATCATAATAATCTAAATCTCTGTCATTTATGCAGTAGTTTTTAAAATATATTGGTTTACTATATTGATTTATTATTTCTTGCTTAACGAGTTCCTCTTCTTTCTTCTTAGCTTCTCTCAATATATCATCTATTTTCTCTTCCACCGATTTTGGAATTTCAGCTTCAATTATTCGAAACACCTGTAAATATAATATATTATGTAACAATACAGCGCGGGCGGGCGTGTGTGCGTGTATACAGGGTGTCCCATCCACGGTAGTACAACCGGGAAGGGAGTGATTCTACATGCAGAAACGAACTGAAAAAACAAGAATAAAATTTTTTTATTCGAAGCTTCATTTTCGAGAAAATCGACTTTGAATGTTCACCGAGTATACATGCACTTAGCTATAGCTTAGATGTATGGACCATCGATAAATGAGTATCGTAAAAATGAGTAATATAATTATTATTATTATTCAAAAATATCGATGGAAATAATTGCTTATATAGGATGTCCCAAGAACGGTAGTACAACCTAGAAGGGGACGATTCTACATGTAGAAACAAATCAAATAAAACGAATAAAATTTTTTGATTCGAAGCTTCGTTTTCGAAAAAATCGATTTTGAATATTTATCGAGTATACGTTCACTTAACTGTGATTTAGATGTATGGATCATCAATACATCAGCATCGAATAGTACAACCGAGGAGTGAGTGATTCTACGTGAAAAAGCAAATCAAAAATGAAGAATAAAATTTTTTCATTGGAAACTTGGTTATCAAGAAAATTGATTTTGAATATGCATGAAGTACACTGGTATACTGATAGTCCATCCACCTTAGTCAAAGTGCATGTATACTCGTTGAACATTCAAAGTCGATTTTCTTCACAACGAAGCTTCGAATGAAAAAATTTTATTCTCTATTTTCGATTCGTTTCTGCATGTAGAATTACCCCCTTCCCGGTTGTACTACCGTTACTGGGACACCCTGTATATGTATGTGTGTTACATCTTTCATTATATATAGGTGTATTTCGTATACGTCGTTTTCAAGAAATGACGTTTTAAATTTAACCACCATGATGTATGGAGTATATGAAAATTAATCATCGCGGCCATTACAGCGTGATTCTACATCTTCAGATCGATGAGAACTTGCTCAAAAAAAAAAAAAATAGTTGATCTCGAATATTCGATTTTCAGGGTCAAATTTTTTATTATCACATTGCATTCTATTCATCCTGAAGATTAAAAATTAACAGCAAATATTTTAACATACAGTAAAACGTCAATTACATTGTGCAACAAATTTTAACGTTTTCTTAAATCTGTAATATCCATTAACTCTTTTAGAGCTTACCTCCCTGAATACGAATCCGTAAACGAAATTACTCCGTGACCTTCAGTTTTAAAAAAATATGAGTTTTTCGGAAAACGCACGATTTTTGGCTAAAATGAAGGATTACACGAAAATTAAAAATATTAGGAGGCTCATTCTTATCTTAAAAGTTAAATAAGAATTTCCCGAGTTTATTGATATCCGTAATTATAATTATTTATGCTTGTGAATAATTGCAATTGGTTATCAAAGTTTAAACATAAGCCACCGACCACTGGTTGCGTGCTTTCCACGCAATATTGTTGCATTTTTACAATAAGTTCTTTATCCAACACAAATTTGCCATACGGTATCGTATTTTGTAGACTTTTTTGAAGAAGAAATTATTCAGAGAAAATATCCAGATGATCTTTAATGTTGACAGGACAGTAAAATATGCATTTGCAATGCCCAAGCTATGTTTTGCCGCCACGCAGCCATTGCTTAAGTGTTTCGCCTCGCAGGACCGTAGCTACGCGTAATCAACGTACGTCGATAGTACATGCTCGATTAGGTACCGTTTAACATACATATATTAATTGTTTCACGTATTCTTGAATATATATAATAATGTATTCATTATAAAATCATAAATAATATTCCCCATTCGCTTTTACTTTTGAAAAATTTCAGTGTAAAGTATTCAATGCATAAATGTAAATTATATGTTTCAACACGACAGCTAAAGAATAAACCTAATTACTTAGGAATTTATAAAATTTCTAATCAGTTCTATACTATGGAATCGCTATGTGAATATTTAAAATTCATAAATTGATGTCACGATAGGAAATTATGATTAATAAATATGCTTAAATAATGCTTAAACGCTATGTTTTGCATCATCTTCAAATCCGGTTATTAAATAACATCTAAACATTGCCATGTTTGAGAAAGCGTTATAATCCCGATTATAGAATTCCTATAAATGCATAAACAATTATATTTCTTCTTCAACTTTATATTAAAAAGTCATTTGTATTAAATTACAAATGATTGATAGAAATTATTTATAACTTTGTAATCAGTATAAAAAAATTTATGAAACCATACGTGTTATAGATATAAAAAATGACATATATTGGACGACGCATTTGGTGACGAGTATGCATGACTATGGCCCTACCGAGGCAAAACACGTGACCAATGACTGCGTGACGGCAAAACACAACTTACACGTTGCAAACGTATATTTTAACGTCCTGTAAACATTAAAGATCATTCCGACATTTTCTTTGGATGATTTCTTCTTCAGAAAAGTCTACAGAATAGATAGAATAGATCTAGCGTCTAGCAAATTCGTACTGAATAAAGAACTTTTTATAAAAATGTAAGAACAGTGGGTAAAAAGTACGCTAGGTGGCTTATTTTTAAACTTTAATAACCAATTGCAATTATTTACAAGCATAAATAATTATAATTATGGATATCGGTAAACTCAGGAAACTCTCATCTAACTTTTAAGATAAGAATGAACATCCCAATATTTTTAGTTTTCGTGTAATCCTTCATTTTAGCCAAATATTACACATTTTTCGAAAAACTCATATTTTTCGAAAACTGAGGATCACGGAGAAATTTCATTTACGAATTCGTATTCAGGGAGGTGAGCTCTATACGTTACCAAATTGATATCACTATTGAAAGTCAAAATCATTGAAATCGAAGATGGGCCAGTTCATCGATAAGTTTATGAAAAAATATTAATATATAAAATTCAGAGTATTTTATCTGAGTGTTAGAACTGTTTTATTTGTATATCTATCTGCATATTTTATCTGTTAAGCTGTTGTATCGCAATCGCGAAGCCTTATAACCAATATTAGTTTACAAAACGCCTCCAAATTTATTTCAGTAACATTTCATTAATCTATGATATTGTTAATATTGAAATATTCTTCTCATCTTTGATTTTTAAAGTAAACTTTGTACTTCTAAATGAATGACATTTACTTTTATAAAAAGGTAAAAACACCCAAGAAGTGAATTCTTTGCATCTTAAAGAGATAAGAATTTCAAGAACACCTTAACGTATAATTAATTAATAAACGATGATCCAATATTTACCGTTCCGTTCAATTTATCGCTATTTGATTGAAAATAACACACGAGCTCGATCCATTTAATTTCAAGAAATATGCGAGTGCCACAGGCAAAAGATTACAAATAGGTAAAGTGTTTACGTAAATATCAGCCCTGTTGATTTTCTTGGTACCGCTTTAGGGCCTTAATTATAACGTCAGTGTCCGTTTTCAATATCCCGAGCAAGTAGTGAATTTTATCCGTTCATGTTATAAACCTGAACTTACAAACCTCCTGAAAACGTTACATGAATTCCTCTTCAATAGTACAAAACATTTGACAAATGCTGTATATACTGATAATATTTTTTAGACTTAAGTACACAATATAAATACAAAGGTCATAAATGGCAAAACAATGTTGCTACACTGCAAAAAGGTTTATAATTTTATTATAAGTTTTGATACGAATTTACTTTAATGACTTTGTCCCAAACATGTTTTTCTTTTTCTGATTTTTCCAAAAAATACTATATTTCAACATCAATAAGAAATATAAATCAGAGAAGGTTAAGAAACTAATATATTTTAGCTTCTTTTTTGCAAAAAATACAAAATTTGAAAAATTTACAGAATACGTGATCCAATCCCGATAATTTTAAACTGTGTTATAAAGAATAAAATTTTGAACCATTTTTATTTGAAGAATAATTGGCGTTTGGCCTTAATTTTCAAGATATTTGGTAAAAATTGTTGGTACTATCACATTGAGGTATTGAATTTCGCCGTGTGTCAATTACACAAAGTCTGGAAGGGGTCACTACTATATAACGAGTGGACAAAAATGGCTGACAATTATATGATGTGAATGTTAACTTGTTCTTCATAGAAATTCTCTAACCCAAAAGTTTTAATGAAAATTTATATGTACCCAAAGCATAATGAGTAATATAAATGAAGTAATATCTTAGTCAATAAAAAAAATTTTAACAATTTTTTGTCTTTTAAATGAGATTAGATAAAGAGAAACTTCCACCATAGGATGATAAGGTACTAAAAATTAAACATTTTTTATTCGAAAAATTTTACTCTATTTCGCATACTTATGTACATTTAAAAAAAAATGCAGAAAACAAACTTTGAATAACAATTACTCTTATTTGAAATAACATCTACAAAAAAAAATTGATCTATATAAAACTCATTGTGCTCTACATACAGAAAAAGTTTCATTAGAAACTAAAAATGTTTTTTGAAAAGTTAAAAAGTTAAAAGAAGCTAAAAAAATGTTTAATCCATTATTCGACTATCGCTGTTGGTCAGTGTAATTAATCGATAAATATCAAGTGAAAAATGATCCTCGTACAAAATCCATTTCGTACTGACGACTTTAAATGGCTCCAAAATTATGACTGACTTGTTATGACCTCAAAAAGTAAAAATAGGAAAATTCTATTCTTATAGGCATATTTCATATGGAAAAACATGCTAAAAATTTTCTTACACTTTTTTTTATCGTCTACCAATCAAAACTTATATCAAACGACACTTATCGTGAGATACATTGTACATGAAACAAATTTTTTGTTTTACAAGATATTATTTCAAAAGCTTGAAGTCAATGTTCAAAATTTTAGTGAATTTTTGTCTTTCTGAGTATTATTCTGTAATTATGTAAGAGATTCTCATAACAAATTTTTTCAATAAATTGATCAAATTCAGAACACATTTTTATTCGCATTACTTTTAGTCGCACATAAATAACATAAAATGATATAATTATTTAAAAAATCAGATGCATATTTCATTTTAAAATAGTAACCTATGATAACCTAAATATTTATCGATTTAAAAACAATTCTTTATAGTAACCAAAATGTAGCAAAAAAATAGTATCTTAATTAAAATTTCTTTAATTCAATGCAGTATATATTATCTAGATACTTGCTTTTAGAACTTTTTTGAGTTGCTATAAATATTAAAATTTTAGTATTAATATTTAAAGTTAATACAACATGAACTTAAAATTGTATGCTTATAACAATATAAATATAAATTATGTTCTTTTTACAAATAACTGATCTGTTATAAATGTTACAACAATTTAATAATTCAAAGCCTAAATTATTCGAAAATAAAACAAAACATTAATATATAATATACTACAATAAAATAATATATTATAATATTAATTTATAATATCTAATTTATAATGTATTATATTTTTATGCTAATAATAATAGTAGACATTGTAAACACATTATAACTCTTTTTAATGTATCATAATGTACTATAAATCCATTAACGTCAAATTTTATATCCTTGATGAATAAAAAAACTTACTTAATTATTTTTTGTCAAAATTGTAATTACACTTTAAAATTGAAACCAATTTCATATCAAAAATGACTTTTTTAATATAACATATATTAATAACATATAATAATAACATATAATAGTAATAACATATATTAGAAGTAAAATTTACAATATTTATAAAATAAGTATAAATTTGGAAATTAACACTTCCATTTAGTAAATTACAAGCAATTTTAAAAGAGCATGATCCCAAATGTTTCATGAAATATATTTATCTTCGTTAAATAAATAGTTTTCTCAGAGGTATGATCTTATAAAATCAACAATAATAGAAATATTTGATACAATTAAAAAACAATCTAACTATCTTATGCAAAAGTTATATAAACCAAATATATCTATGAGATTTTAATAATACTCATTTCTAAAATAAGTAAAAGGCATAAACAATATTAACAAACTATATCAAATATATATTAATTATAGAAAATACCCAAATTGAATGTTATAATTTAAAAAAACAATTATAAATCAAAAATGCTACACGTAACAAAAAAGGAATGTTTATTATGTAAAATAAATAAATATAATAAATAGACATTAGCATGCATAAATATAGTATAATACACAAAATATAGTAAAATATATTTTTAATCAAGTACTTGATATTACGTTCATAATTTTCTTGACTAAAGAGAAGTTTTTTTTCAATTTAATCCGTATATTAGTAAATAATAAATTATTGTTACCTGCTTTCCTCGTGACATTATGTTTCCTTGCTTTTCTTTTTGAATTTTTGAATTTTACATCCCTTAGATGTTTTAATATACTCTTTTTTTCTCCACAACTATTTACCATTTATTAACTCTTTCAAGCTAATTATGTTATTGGATAAAGATTTCACAAATGGTGGCACAATTTCTTTTTGC